GAGCCGGTTCAGGCTGCGAACCCCACGGGGTCGTGGACGTGGCGTTGGTGATTGTGAGTGAGCCTTTCGGGCGAAGGGGAATACCGCAACAACGTGGCAATGGACGGCTCTGGTTGGACGGACGAATTGAGCACCGGTTTGGCATGCGCTTAATGCGACCTTGGTGTATGTACTCCGTACAGGAAGACCAGGCCAGGGCACAAGGGTTGGGAGTGTGTGTGGGCTGTGAGTTGCGACACACCTCCAATGCGCTTGGCGGCTGACTGATTCGGTGCGAAGGTTGTGCTGGCGTGGGTTTTGCTCGTGAAAGACGCCGGGGAGACACGGAGGCTAAGGTAGATGAAGAAGTTGGATGGGTGGATGGGTGAGTGGGTTGTCGAAGATTGATGACCCAACCGCTTTGGAGTAGACTTCTTCAGCAACCCCGAGCAGCTATATAAATGCCGGCATTCAGGTTGATCATCGATATTACGCCGGTTCAAGGTTGAGAAGCATGAGAGATAGCCTCAGTCGCATTCCACGAGTGGAGGTCGAAGAGAAGAACTGGAGCCAGAGAGAGTGAGAGAAAAGAGGGGAAGCCGGGAATTGTGGGTAACAAGTCGTCCACTTCAGTTTCCCCCGCGGGATGACCTGGAGTTATTAATTGGAGAAAGCGCCAGGGTTCGGTGAGGAAGATTCACAAATACTCCTTAATAAGGTACTTGCTTCGTCTCTTCTTTCTTCCCTTGGGCGACGACAATAAGATGCAGAAACGGCCACAGAGGTAGAGGGACTGGATAGAGCCTGTATTCGTACCTTGCTGCGCCTGAAACTTGTAACCTTGCTGGATCGTGGATGCGGGTTGAGTCCAGTTACTGTGTACTAACTGACATGTGCCCAGTTGCGAGCCAAGCAACTATAGCGGCGATCAGGACCAGCGGAAAGTCTGTCAGGCTCGGGACCTTGGGGTCGCTTTGCGGCGGTTGGGGTCCGGTTGGTTTGTTTGGCGTGCGGGGGTTTTCTTTTCGTCTTGTTTTCTTCCGTCGCCGAGTTGCCAGTCCTTTTGGGTAGTGGCCCGCTGCTTGAGAGTCGGGAAGCAACAAGAAGCAAATCTGACCTTCCAGTGGTCGTTCGTAACGTCGAGAATAGATTTCGGCGCTTCTTCAAGAGTCCGGGTTGAGTTGGGCAAGTTCAATGATGATGCTCGACTTTGGTTCATGCTATATCTGCTCCGGGAATGAGGAACAACCCCTCACGGTCATGTTGGAGAATAGTCGCTCAGGTGACACTAGCAATGACGATGCTGCTTGTCACTGAAGCACGGCTAGTCGCTGGTCTGTCTACTAGATATGACCTCCGAGTTGATGCCGGCAGACTCCATTTAAATCATCATCCTGTTTAACGGCATCAGTTATTGACGCAGTCGCCAGGCTCATGTTTGTCCAGTGCGCAACTTTCAGCATCCCTCTCCTTCACGAAACTCTTCCACCTTCCCGAGGACACCTATCAATTAGTTAGACACAATTCGTCAAAAGTCCAAGATGCATCGGACGAAGAAAATAGAGCAGCCTGGCGTCGGTCGGGGAAACGCAAGTGGCTAACAAATCAACGGCCTGGACCGAACCACCCGAACGCCGCCGGTCGACCAAACCCAGCCAAAGAATGGAACCAAACCAGTCCACTTTGTGGTTGACCTCTGGATTGCCGATGGTAAATCAAATCTCCTCCCCTCGCCTGTCTGCTGTTCGGATCAAAGGACGTTGGAAGACGTGGGACGCTGGCGGGGGGTGCTTGGGTTTCCCAAATTGGACCAGCACCCATCTGGCTGGACCGCAGGACCGCAAGCAGCCGCCCCACTATGAGGTGAGTACCAAGGTACCTTGGTGAACGCTCCACAGTGGGAAGGAAGCAAACCGTCCAAGTGGGTGACAAAAATAGGAAGTCAGCAAGATTGTAACGCCTACTTACCTGCGTATTATGCCTAATGTTCTTGTTCTTGTTCTCGTTCTCGTTCTTTTTATTCTGTTTATTATTTCTGCTATTAGTTTTAACTTTTGTATATTCATTAGAGAATATTCTTCAAAGGATGAGTAGGAAGAGGGATAGAAGAAGCAGAAACAATAGGAAACGAGCTAGGGAGGGTACCGATAGAGCGGCAAGCGATTTTGTCACCCACTTGCCGCATGTCCGGGTCACCTGCAGCTTGCGCCCGAAGTGCCCTGGGGAACCTGCCACCGCCGCCAGCTGACACGCAAAGGAACATCATTTGCCTCTCGTCTGGTTGGTCCGGTCAACCTGCCCTTCCATGACGAAGACAGGACCTTATCGAGAAAATTCCGGGGCTGCGGAACCCTTCGCCTGTGGGGGGAGCTGCCATGAGGTCGGGTGCTGGTGACACAGCATCCAGTGCTTCTTTTTCCCCGCCATCTGCATCTGGCATTCAGCTCTGCGCCAAGTTGCCTGATGTCTGATGACAGCTCTCATCCACATCCACTTTCGTACCTACTGTGAAGCCGAATGACTGGGATCTTTTGTATGTATTTGGAATATGATGCTGACGTCTCTTATTCTGCAATATGAAACAACGCAGATAGACAACGCGGTTCTGTTGTCGCCTCCATTGCAGGGCCAAGCTACGATTGCTCGTTTGGCCACAAGCTGGGCGACTTTCGGCGGTCTCTCTATATATGCGTTTCACGACACCGAGTTGCCGGCCTTTCGGCTCCGGAACAGAACCGGCCCCACTTCAACTTACATGACATGACGGTTCGGGACTTCGGCAACGACGCAACGAGTAAGTCTCTCACTCAAGGAATAAGATCGATTTCTCATTTTGATTGCCGATCCTCCCTATATTTGTACCGCTCTTGCTTCTCATAAGCACAATCTCATTTGCTATGTAATTTCCATTCCCCAGCTTGCACCCGGAACAGCGCCGATGAATGAGAGACAAGCAATGAGGTTAGTCTCCTTCGAATGCCCTCTATTATCAGGCGGTGGCACGTTTCTCGATGTATTTGTGGCTCGCAAATTTCGATTTTACTCACAAATGCCGTCTACGTGATACAGTCTCTCAACTCATAGCAAATATCCAAGTCTATTCAGCAGTCATCAATCAGGCGCCTCTGTCAAATCGGAAATCATACACGAGGTAGATTATTATGTCAACTATATCTAAGTGTTGGAATCCTAAATACTGAACTGAAAACCAGCCTCCATTTCCACCGCATATTCCCGATACTACGGTGTCTCTCCCATATGTACCATAAGCATATACAAAACCCCAAGTCCGTCATGAGGCTCAATTCGTAACCCACGCTCTGCCTGAATCTCATATTAAGGGAGCGCATAACAGGCTACCAGAGACTCAAAAGTATCTCGCTCACGGTCAGCGCAGACTCCCGAGGACAGAGCAGCTATCACACCACCACCACCCCAGCTGTATCGATTTGGTATTACCCAAAATTTAGTAGTTGTTAGGGCAGCGAATCATCTGGTTGGAAGCGGTAGGACGGCCACCGCATCCGTGATAGGCCATGGAGTAGCACAGTCCGTGGGCGCTGGCACCGCCGGCGTCCTTGTCGGTGTGGACGGCGTGGACCTCGTAAGGGGTGACGGTGGGGGCCTGGCAGGCTCTCTTGGAGTTGGCATCGATGTACTGGGTCTGTTTTTTTGGTTCTTTTGTCAGAAACAGCTCTCTCTCTCTCTCTCTCGCGATAGATACCAAAGGGAATTTTACTTACGACGATGACGCCCTTGTCGACGCTGAAGTGAGGTCTCTCCCAGAGGAAGCAGACGTTGAAGGCGCCGCAGGTGCCAGAGTAGCTGATACCGGTGGTGACACTGTTGGAAGTGTGTTAGTAACAGGTTCAGAATCTAGGGGAGATTTGTGGGTGCAACCGACCTGTCGGGAGATTTGCTGATGCTGAGGCCAAAAGTGCTCAGGAAGGTAGAGACGGCCTTGGTCCAAGTGTTCTTACCGCCGAACTAGAATCCCTGGGTTAATTTCACAAGCTTTCGATATAATGGCAGAAACCCCTTGTGGGTACAAGGCCTCTCTTTCGGAGGGGAGGGGAAGAACTTACTCCGGGAATACCAATGGAGCCTCCAAGGGTGACGGCGGAGGTGTGAGTGACGGAGACAGTCTTGCTGATAGAGCCGACACCACACTGGGGGTCCGAGACGTAGTGGTAGTATCCGTAGACGTTGTTGTTGAACGACTGTCTCACACCGCGGTGAACGTAGTTGGTGCAGCTGCTGGAGCATCGCAGCCTGTCGTCGTAGAAGCACATATCGGGGAAGGCCCTCTTGCTGACATGGCTGGCGGGTACGTGGACTTCCGAGTCGGGGTTGCTGGCGAGAGCAACCATGGATGCTCTATGGTTGCAAGTGTTAGTGGGAAACAATTCCAACCATCGTATGATGCCCTATGATGAGCAGTAGAAGGGGGATCACGCACTGGTAAGCCTTGACTTCCTCATCCGTGGGGATGAAGTTGCCCTTGGAGTCAAAGTACTCGGGGAGGCTCATGTAGTGCGCCTTGAACTGATCCGTGGTGAGGGCAGAGATGTTGAAGTCCTGGTAGGTCAACTGCTTGCCGTCGATCTCGACCTGCTTGTCCATCATGGGGAGTCCCTCGTAGAGGGCCGAGTCAGGCGTCCACTTGTTGTAGTCGAACGCCTCTTCGGGCTTGTAGGTCGGCAGGTCGGCCGCATCCCTCTCGAGCAGGGATGACATGCCCTCCAGGGACGAGGACGACTCCAGGCGGGAGACCACACCAGCTTGGACCTGGCCGAGGGCCATTGCCACAGAGAGTAAACGAAGCATGTTTAGAAGCTTAAACAGATTTTCTGATTAGGTGAAAAAGAAGGTGTGGCTTGGAAGGATTGAGCTTGGTCTGTGTGAGGAGACTTGGAAAGAAGAATGCGGAGAGAGCGAACCGGAGTGAGCGATGCTTGGCAGAAAAGCTTGTCGTTAAGCATGAAGCTCTGTCGTTTATTATATCTTTTTTCACGAAGCTCTCAATTCCCCTCTCCATCATCGTGGACCCTCCTCACCCCCTCAACCTCCTCGACCTCCCTATCCATCCCACTTCGCCCACACTTTCGCTCTCGGAACTTGCCTGCCGTCGAAACATGAGTCTCTACTGGAGTCCAGATAACGAAGATTAACGAATGCCCTCACATGAGTTGCTCTGACTCGGAATTGAGTTTGGATTTTCGCTGCTAGCACGCTGCGCACCTGACCGTGTTGAAATGAGAAAAGTGAGGATCGCGCGAGCACATACCAACTTGAATGGTTGAACCAGCGGTCTATTTCCCGCAAGCATGTTTAGAGTTTCTAGAAGCTCAGACAGAAGCTCTGACAAGTTCGTATAATTACGATGTTGGTCCAAACACTGACTCGCACCTATATTAACTTATCATGCTAGCTTGAGCTTCTAGACTAGGAAACCATCAAACTTCACCAGGGTTCTGGCACGTGTATTCCGATCTGCCCTTCTTCTTGCACCATATGGCTTTGATTCTGCTCAATGTTGCTGACCGTTGCTCGGGTTTGCTCGAGTCAGACTGTCAAAAGACTAGTTGAGTTTCAACGAGAAATAATATCAGCACGTAAAGTGCACCAATATCGAACAAAGACTAGACTAAGTCATGGAGATTATGTGAGATAATGACATTTCCCGAGATATGGTGCCTCGAAGCCGTTGCCCAATCGCTGTATCGTTATTTTCGAACCGGAGGCCGAGAATATTGAAATATATACCACAGGTCCGGATCTCGCCAAGACAACCCCCAGTGTCACATCATCACCTCTGTTTCAATCACATATTCTTTTGACTTACACTCTTTAGTCAACAACTACCTTCTCCCACAAATCTCAAAAATGGTTTCCCTGTCGCTTCTCGCACCTTCCAAGGTCGCCTCTGCGCTGGTTCTCGTCCTCGGACTGGCTGACATGTGCAATGCGGCGGTCCAGTGCGACATCATCACCAGCGTGAACTGCGGCAAGGCCAAGCACCACATGGGCCACAAGCTACCTACCAGCGTCGGTTCGACATACTACGTGGACGGCTTCCACGGTGGTGTCATGAACGCAAAGTTCCAGTCCATGGTCAACTCCGTCCCGGGGTGAGTCTCTCTCTCCATCATCTCAGGTGGAGGTGATTGGTGTTTGCTTTGCTAACTAGTGAGCCAGCAACTCTGAATTTGTCGACCTGACGTACAACTTCAACCTTGGCAACTACGACAAGGCGTACTGGGTCCTTCTTCCCACGTCCTTTGGTGGTGCCAACGAGTGCTTCGCGGTCTACAAGAACTGCGATGTCACAATCAGGTTCTGGGACAAGAAGGACCCCCTTCCCAATTGGTACACCCTGGCATAAATCCAGAGGGTGTTTGGCCTAAGTCTGTTACTTTTAATCCATTGCCGTCGTCGTTCATATGCGCACGAAAGAGGCGGTCGCAATGGAGGTGGGCTCGCCTGGTTTTGTCGATCTAGGTGACTTTGGGGTGGAGTGGAGGCTCACGTAGGGCTGTTAAAGCAGATGACTCATACTGCGATGTAAATAATAATACCACAATGTGCATAATAAGTTGAAAGAGTCGAGTTCCCGCAGCATGTAGCAAGAGTGAAGAGACTGTGATGTTTGGCGACCCAAATGACCCAAGCCAGGAGGCCACAAGATAGAAACTGAGAAGACGTACAACAATCATGTCATTCATCCCACCGTCACGCGTACGTAACAACAATCTTCCTAATGGGCTCTGGTCTGTGGAGTTTGCTTTAAGGTATTAGCAAATAGATTCAGTTTGATCACTAATTGTCCGTTATTGAACCCCAAAGGAAGGCAGAAAAGGCATATCGTAAGGCGCATCAGACACACGGTGTCCCGGCATTCTGGGAAGTGAACAAATGTAAAAAAGCTTCGTGTGCGTGTTCAGTGGGCCTCGTCTTAGTTCTCGAGGGGGTTAAGCTTATGGCGAAGCAAAAGTAATCAGACTGACCAGGCTGACCACACCGACTCCAGACGAACTGCGCGTGGCAGTGGCATGGCATTGACTTTCTGATTCGTGCCCGCCTGCTGCCCCGTGCCTCGAGCCTCGTGCTTCGTGCCCGGTGCCGTTTCTGCCGCCGCCCGCCCCCGCCGGCGACTCGCGAGAAATAGGACGAAGGTTTTGCTACACTACTTCGAACGAAAGAAGAAGTTGACATGGATGGAAACTTTCGAGGAGGCTGATTGCGCGGTCCACTTGGCTGATGGTTTGGGGAGTCGCTCAATCAGCCGGAAATTAGGCACGAGGTTGAAGTTGCTCCACTACCCCGATAATCAGGTCGAGGTTAGCCGTTGCCTCAAAGTGTCAGCCGGCATGGGTCCGTATTGCACCGTATCTGTCAGTTCGTCCAATCTGAGGGAAACAAGTACGGAATACAGATCAGCGTCAAGGATACTCCGTATGACGGGCTGACACTCAGCGCAACAAGCATTTGCCAATACGGCGCCATCCGGTCGCCAAGTAATAATTATTTGATGCCATCCAATGTGGCTTTCAGAAGCAGACTCGAGGTGAATGTTCTTGATGCATCCAACGAAGGTCTCAAAGAGGATATCCATTCGACACTTGGTAAAGTTTAGAGGTCTCCGTCGTGGCATTCTCGTGCCGACTTCCGAATGACGACGATGCGAGGCGCATAAGGCCTTTGGTGCTGACAGGCGCAGTCCGTTTAGGGTGTTTCTATCCCTTTTGGGAATTCGATTCGAGCGGCACGATGGTTAGGTATCCGACCGTGCGGATAAGTTGGTTATGGTCAATCCGTACTACGTGCCTCACGAGCGGGAATGACTGAGGATGACATCCTGCAGGTGTCTCATTGTTTTTTCTTCCCTCCCATGCATCACAAATGCGACTAGTCGCGATTTGGTTGAATCCACGAGCTGAGTGTGTGTGTCGTGGGGCTTGGATGGGTGGGAAGAAGTAGAAATTCGTAAAGGTGATCCAGAGAGAGATCCAAAGGATCGGAACCATCTCCACAACCCTCGCACTCGCCTAATTCTTGGCTTTCCCTCTTGTGGATACGTGCATGCTGGAAACACCTTATCGATTGGCCCGGTCGCATCGATAAGGTATAGGTAGGGCTGCCTTGGCCCGCCTTGGCAAGAGCTTGTCCTCTACTCCCGGCCTGCCGCTGTCTGCCATCTTCCAACGACGCCCGGCAACCGCGAATGGTCTACCTTAAGGTACCTTGGTCTTCCAAGGTTCCTGATGGTCCCTTACCCCTTAGTCTCATGCGCGTACAACGGGAACGATGAGCCACACCCCATTCCATCAGTATGATCGCAAAAGCGCCAATCATCGACTACCATAGGTGCTTAGATACCTGGTCATCGTCGTCGTCGTCGTCTTCTATGGGCTATGCATTTGGCGTCTACCTGCTTTCGTTCCCTGCAGGTGATGTGTGGGTCATGAAGCCCAAGTTTCGTCTATCTCTGTACTACTTTTGCTGCGGAAGAGAGAACATCTCGGCGAGCGTTTTGAGAAGATCCACGGGCTGCCTCCATCGCTGTCTGCATTCGCACTCGTCTAAACGGATTGAGGGTTCGTCTGACCCAGCCTCAACGGAAGCCCATTCCGGTCTGGTTATTCTGTATTAACCCCTGTCTCAGAGTGAACTACCCATGATGTATCTGGGTGTCAAGTAGACTGTCGCTAGCGAGGAGTTATAACACACCTCCGCCCCCCCCGATCAAGTTCATGTAGAGTCGATATTCAACCAAGCATTTAATTCCTACCCCTGACTCATCGACTTCGAATCTACCAGACACCATCATAACAACTACAAGAGTACATACTCAGACAAGCAGTATTAGACAACGACTCCTCCACCGAAAGAGACATCAACAACCCGTCTTACCCCTGAGAGGCAACTTCGACATGGTTTTCATCTACTTGGGGAAGAAGGCCTACCGAGCCATGAAGGGTTCGGGCAAAACGCAAACGACACCAGCCACAAAGTCAACAGCAACAGAAGGATCAACAAGCGAGAACATAACCTACCAGGACAAGAACAACCAAACCCCCTTAGAAAGAACTTCGAGTACACCGACTTGCGGTCACCAATTCGATCCGGCCTCTGGGCCCTGCCCAACATGCAAGTCTGAGCGCAAGGCCCAGCTCAAGTACAGAGTCAAGATCTTTGCTGGCCTAGTACTCCCCTTTGTAGTCCAAGCCTTGGACGTGACAATCGTAAGTCTGACCTCGTTAGAGCCGCGAAACATGTAACACAGCTGACAAGATCCAAAAGGTCGCCAGTGCCTTGCCCTGGATTGCAGCCGACTTCCGTACGCCCCTGACTCCATATGCCCATCTTCACCACCGCTTACATGTCTAACAATCGCGCAGACGAGACTCGCCAACTCAACTGGATCATCGCAGCCTTCAACCTCACATCGGCCGCATTCATCCCATTCTGGGGCCAGATCGCCGACATCTTTGGAAGACACGTCTCGATACAGACCTGTTTGGTGCTGATGCTCATTGGCAGCGCGCTGTGTACCGGCGCCCCGACAGATGCCTTCCCCGTCCTCCTGCTCGGCCGCGGCTTCCAAGGCCTGGCGTGTGCTGGCCTCAATGTCCTCGTCCGCATCGTCATCGCCGACAAGGTGACCCTGCGCGAGAACGCCAAGAACTGGGCAATCTTCTCCTTCTTGGGAGGTGTGTTGGGATGGGGTCTGGGCCCTGTCCTGGGAGGTGAGCCACTCCAGACACTGTATTGTCATTGAGTTATGAAGACTAACAGACGGCCAGGATACATCACGAGCGGTTCTTCTTGGCGATGGTGCTTCGGCATCAACCTGCCCATCGCCTTCGTCAGCATGTTCATCCTCTACTTCGTCCTACGTTCCGAACTCCTTGGGCCGCAACCCATTCCCCAGCTCGACGAGACGACCGAGACGGGCCGACGAACAACCTTCAAAAAGCGTCTGCAGACAATCGACATCGGAGGCCAGCTCCTCTTCCTCTTTGGCTTCGGTCTCCTGGTCCTCGGCTTGACGTGGGCCGGTGCCACATACTCGTGGACTAGCCCCGCCGTTCTTGTGACGCTCATCCTGGGCGTTGTGATCAGCATCCTGTTCATCGTCTGGGAGTACCACATGTCCCCAGGCAAGGCACTGGCCCGCCGCTTCCCGTGGCAAAAGGCCATGATTCCCTGGGAGTTGGTTCGTAACAGGGATATCGGCCTCTTGTTCTACACCTCTTTCGCGACGGGCATGGCCATGTACTCTGTACTGTACTTTTGCAACATCTACTTCACAATGGTGAAGCTTTGGTCGGCGGACCAGTCTGGCGTACAGCTGCTGTACTTTACCCCAGGCTTGGCAGGTAAGTTTCCCCAAATGGTGTATGACCAAACAAGTTGCTGACGGGTGAATCTTGCAGTTGGTGTCTACGCCTCGGCTTTCATGTGCAACGGCTGGCCGCGCAAGACGTTTCCGCCCATCTTTCTCGGATCGATCCTCGAAATGCTCGGCATCGGCTTGTTGGCGTGGGCACTTTGGACAGAACACAACCCAACCGTATACGGGATGATGGCTCTCACTGGTGTCGGAACCGGTCTTCGTATTATGCCCGGTAAGTGTTCCTCTCTTCATAATCCCTCTAATCATGAGAAGTGAGACTAATCCTCAGCCTAGTCCCTCTTCACGGTGTCGGCTACTTCCCCAAGAAGATCGCAGCCGTCATTTCTCTCATGGCAGTCGCCTACCCCTTTGGCGGAACGTTGGGCCTGACCATCATGACGACCGTCTTCAACAACGCTTCTGGCATCGGTGAGGACTCGCCCCTGAGAGACTTTGAGGCCCTCAGCCGTCTGCCGGCGGCCACGCAGCAACAGATTACCCACGACGCCAAGATGGGCGTCGTCTGGGCGTTTGTCGCCATCTGTCCTTTTATGGTCCTCGTAGGTTATGCCCCAATATTCGAGAAAGCTTTCTTTTATTATAAAGCTAATACAACGTCTTTTAGTGCACGATATCGGCTTCGCTTCTTGGCAATGTCTATATTAGCAAAGTCGAGGAGGGCAAGGATGAAAGGCAGAACGAAATCTACGAGGGCGTGTATTTGCTTAGCTATTTTCGCAAGGGAGGCAATGCCAAGAATATCAGAAGGGAGCATTTGTCGGGCGGGGAGTCGACTTTGGAGTAGGTTGAGAATGATTTGCATGGGCTGAACTATGAAACTGTTTATTGATTGTTTTTGATCATTTTCTACAGATTAGGGGGAGTGGTTCTTTGGTAAATTAGACTTGCAGCGTCATGATTAAACACTCCAATCTGTTTGTAGCAATATTGAAATGAAGGTAAGATTGAGAAGATTTATGAAATATATAAAACAATGTTTGCCAAAGCATCAAAGCACTTCTGTTTTAGGGCCTCCCATCTACATCTCGCATCAATGAATTGACAACACTTGACGTCGGACAGTGGCGAAGAGAAACAAGGAAAAGCCAACCATTCCTTTCATCGAGAACGAAAAACCTGCTGGCTTCGTCAAGTCTGGGTGCGGCGAATGTCAATCTGATTCGCTGCGCAACGCCGAGGCGAGGTGGCCAAGTTGGCCCGATTAGGAAAGTGGGCTGTGTGTTTTGTGGTGCGGTCGCGAAGCTCCGGCGGCCGGATCCTCTCCGCAACCTCACCTACACCTCATCACACTTCTAGCATCGTCTC